CCTCTGTCTTCAAGATGAGCTCAGCTCTATCTTCTGGACTCAACCCATTACTCAGTCTTTCTTACACCTGGAACTTCACAGAAATCCCCAGATTTCTGTCTCATGCATTAATTTTACTTTTCTATTTCTTGATTTTTATGGAGTTTTGTTTTATAGGTAATATTCTTGCCCTTCACGTTCACGACGTTTATTTGATTTTTTTTTTAAATGTTTTTCTATTCTCACACTTTTTTACCTCTGTCTTTATTTCAAGGTCCTCTAGCCTCTTACATTTATATGAGAAAACATTAACTGTTTCAGTGCTAGCATACCCCTGTGTTTTGATCAACTGGTCATTTGGTGTATTTCCATTTCTGTTCCTGAGGTGAACACAGGAGAGCTGGTGGGTCCTGGTTGTGCCTGAACCTGGAGCCTGCCCTTCCCCTCTGGCAGTACACCCAGTCTTGTGTCCCCTCCTAAGTATGACCTAGCTGTTCTCAGGAGAGTACTTTGACACAGCTGAATTATCTTTAAACAACAATCTGCTGTGGAAAGTAGGTGGAAGGTACTAGGAATACTCCCCAGAATTTCTGAGGTAGTCACAGGTGAGGTGAGCGTTTCTGAAAGCACGTCCCATTGTCCTCCAAAATCTTGAGAAGAGAGTCACATGCCTTGTGTGTCCCTGCCTGACGTCTCCTGCTGCTGGGCACGAGGAGACGGCGTTAGAGCCCCTTCCTGCTGGGATCAGTGCAGGATGTGCTCGACTCCCAGCACTGGGAGACAGTCAGACTCTGCCTCCAGGAAAAACAAAGAACCATGGTCCTGGGGTTTCACGTGCCCTCTCTGGTTTTACAGAACAGCAGAGTTCTAGGAAGGGTCGTTATGCAGAAGGCTGGGTGTGTCTGATGGCATTGCTGTATATACACATCCACATACAACCCCAAAATCCTGGTTCTTCAGGCAGAATGTGCACAGCAACACTGGGGCTGTTACTGGAGTGAGAACAAGAGATTTGGGCTCACGGTTGGATGAATTTGTCCTGTATCCTAAAAGGTACTTTTTGCCTGCAATTTAGCAGGCTCTTACACTGTTCTGTAACTGGTGTAAAGTGTTATTGTGCTGATTTGGACTGAAGAGTGTGGATAAAATTAAAGCAGGTTTGTATTTGCTTCCTGCAGTGTTCAAAGTCTGGAGTAACTTACACATGTAAATGAAAAAACATTAAATAGTTATTAGATAAGTAATAGATTGTACAACAAATATAGCCAGGTGTAGGTAATGGGAAATTCTGTGCGGGTTTTGGCTTGGAATTTGTATGCATTGAAAACAGCCCTCGATAGCTGTCTGGCAATCTCAGCTTTCAGATAGTCTGCTGTCCTGCTGCTTTGCTGAGCTGCCTTCAGAATAACAACTGAGGGTTCCAGTGGTGGTTTGGCACACCGTATCTCGGGCTGGTGTAAGGAACTTGTTTAAATAAAGCAGTACTTTCAACACCAAAAAGGTAATATTTTAGTGTGATGTGCAAAACTGATGAATGACGTTCTGTAAGTCCAGTACTTTTTTTTTGCCCCTGGCAAATATACCACTACTTTTGTAAAGGCCAAGGAATTAATGAATGATTTTATTCTTCCCCTTTGCAGCCTGCACAGGGTAATTATGTATTATTAATAATGCAGCAGTACAAATGATATTAAATGAACTACATTTGTTAACGTAGATCTTATCCCACTGCTTTTTTCCATCGGTGGACTGTTTCTCATCAAGGGGTACTAATTAGCTCTAATATGTAGAAAGATGGGACAGAAATCCAATCAGATAAATAGGATAGATTTGGAAAAATTCAGGAAGGAAGAATACCATTTAAGACTGTGAATGTATTATTAAGAGGAGAGATGAGAATTTATGCTATTGTGCTTTCTCATATATTTTGTGATCATTTGAAAACTAGAAAGTATCAACTCTTGTTCTACGAGGTCTGTAAAGACTCCCAGAATATTTAATTTTTCAAAGCTGTAATGTTGTTTTCTTTTGCAGTTATAGAAGTGCATGTAAAAGCTTTCAGTCTTTGCTATGCTTGCTGTTGTATTTATTCAAGCTTCTGTGCTGACGAAAATTAGTGATTGTCTATTGCTGCTGGAATTTTTTTTAAATCCCTCACCTCCTGATAGAGTTTTCTGTCCCTCTGTGGTTGAATAATGATCTGTTAATTTCTACCACTGTATTGCCGTACATTTCCATGTAGTTATGCAATAAATACACGTGCATAATGCATAAATGTAAAGGGTTTGATCTGACTGCCGATAAATCAATGAAAGACTATTGCAGACTTCAGAGAGTGTACTATGAGACCAAATAATCATTCGTGTGATTTCTGTACGACTGAGATCCAGTCCAAATGAAACCAACATAATTTCATTTGAAAGGAAGTGGTTGCACCTGTGTTCACAGGACAGCAATTCAATTAATCCCATACATTAGTAGCTTTACTACACATTTGCATTGTGGTTCTTATTAGTGGAGTTCAGTGGTTCCTGTGTTCTGTGGGATGGGTCATTATCATCCAACTGCACAGTTCTGGTTTCCTGTCCACCTGTAGCACAGTGAAACTGGAACCTTGTTTGAGAACCCGTGGTAGCAAACCCGATGCTCTGGCACGAGAGGTTTGTAAACCAGAGGTTTGTTTAAAATCCTCTACCAAGCTGGATTGCCTCATACATTTTTGAAGATAATCAGTTATACGACTTTATATTCCCTCTGCATTGATGGAATTTGCTCCTTTTCCTTAAAGACTCCACCCTTACCCACCCACACATCAGTGACCCCGTAACAACCCTGGCCTGTCCCACTGCCCCAGCTGGGGCAGCGTAGGGGGGGCTGTGGGGGTCAGGGGGGGTTGGAGGGGTTGAGGGGTGGGCGTAGGGGTGAGGGGGGGCTGTAGGGGTGAGGGGGGGCTGTAGGGATGAGTGTAGGGTGTGAGGGGTGGTTGGAGGGATGAAGGGTGGGTGTGGGGGGGCTGTAGGGGGTGTGTGGGTGAGAGGGATGGGCTTAGGGGTGAGGGGGGGGGTAGGGGGATGGGGGGGGAGGGGTGGGTGTAGGGGTGAGGGGGGGCTGTAGGGGTCAGGGGGGCCTGTAGGGGTGAGGGGGGGCTGTAGGAGTGAGTGTAGGGGGTGAGGGGTGGTTGGAGGGATGAAGGGTGGGTGTAGGGGTGAGGGGGGGCTGTAGGGGTGAGGGGGGCTGTAGGGGTGAGGGGGGGCTGTAGGAGTGAGTGTAGGGGGTGAGGGGTGGTTGGAGGGATGAAGGGTGGGTGTAGGGGTGAGGGGTGCAGCCAGCCCTGGGGTGCCCCCCCAGCAGCCCTGGGGGCCCGGGGTGGTGGTGGGAGCCCTTGGTGGGGATGTGCTGTCACACAGGAACCAGGAAGCTGGGCTGCTTAAAACTGCACACAGAAATAGAGAGAGAGATTCAGGACTATTTACATTTTAATACAACTATTTAATGTAATTAAAGTAAACAGATAAACAGATCAATATGTTGAAACAGATGTATAAATATATAGATAGACATATTGCACGGAAACCTCAATATTTCATCCAAATGAAATACTCTATTCCAAATATGCCCTGTAGGAGTTTTGCTCAAGGCTATGCTTAGGTATAGTCAAAAATTCCCGATAGCTAGTCACGAGGGAAAATATGTTCTCTTACAGATAATTGCTACTGGCAGCTAGAGACCTAGAGAATTTGATGTGCAATAATGTGACCTGACTATGTATTAAACTTTTTTGAAGGACATGCGTAGAGAAATTTTATATGCTTCTCACATACTGTAGGGTTTTTTGGATTTCACTTGTGTTAGCACATTTTTAACAACTATCCGATGTTCAGTATCTGTTACATTTCATCCTAATAGTTCTCAGCCATAAAAGATCCTAATATTACGTGTTGGTTTTTTTCCCCAAACAAATGAGCTTAGAAATGGTGGGGTGGAGAGGAGACGGGAAGGAGAATAAAGCCCAGGTGACTTGTAAGGAATATGTAAACAAAGCAGAGTTGCATTATTGATGATAGCACTGCAGAAAACAAAAGCAGTAAATATTTTTTCTTTAAAAATGCATGAGATTAACCATCCGAGTGCTGCTTGTTTCCCTGAATTCAGTTGGAATGTTATCACGTAAGCACTCACTTTGTATCTATATATGTGCTATTTATTTACCACTCTGTTGTGTCTTAGAAAAGCTTAAAAGATGACTGTCTTCCTATACTAAAAAGGTCGTATGTTGTACGTAGCCTTTTATCCTATTGGAAAATACATAGCAATTACATAAAAAAGAGTCAGTTAAAACAAAATGTCAGAATTGCTTGCTATTACACTTATCTTTTCCTGTAGTGCTGGTTTTTAGTATTTGTTTCCCAGAATTTGGGATTATCACTAAGCAATCATGTATAGCTTGAATTTTCATAAACTGCCAGGAACTGAAAATGAACTTCCAAAAGATACAAAATGACACAGCTTCAATAAATATTTTTATATACCCAGTAAAAATTCTTGATATAATCTTGTTTTGTTGTGGCAGATGTTAATAGGCAATAAATATATATGTTGTTTTTCACTGTCCAAAGATAAAAGGCTGAAGTAACTGTGTCCCTGCATTATAAACTCCTTTTATTCCTCTTATTTATTTTAAACTCCATCCCAGATTCCAGATTTAGATCTATAGTTAATACAACTCACTGAAATTTTCATTTTATCTTTATAATTTTTGTTATTATTTTTTGAACACTATATATGGATATAGGCAGCAACACAGTGTTTCTCTGTAGGTTGGCATAATATTTTAATGCAACATAGAAGTTTAAATAAAATATCAGTTGACATTGTTAATATAAAAGACTTCTGACTTATTCTTGTAAAAAAATCATGGTTTTGCAATAATTTAAACTCTAATACGTGATATTTGTGGCAAGTAGTAGAATGTAGAGTATTGGAGCTAATTAGAAAAGTGAACTGCACTGCTGTTCCTTCAGACTCCTTGAGCTGAGCCATCAACGGGGCTGCCTGAACCTTCCTTCGGTGCATCACAGTTGTGTGGAGCTGAGGTCAGTACAGATGGTTTGCTGGGGTTCAGCACGTCCTTATCTGGATCCTACTTCTGAAGATCCTGCTTGGCATTGCTGCCACGCAACATTTGATAAATAAGGGTATCCTGAGGAATTCAGAACCTGTTCTGTCAGGAAATCCTGGGGCTCGATTGTCCACGGGGTGTGTCACTTGGCTGTGGGACTTCTGATGTGCTGCAAACCTGATCTCTCTACCTGTCTGGGGATGTTGGAATTAAGAGTTGTTCCCTTTTGGCTGTGATAGGAGCATTTTTGTGCTCCTTCAGTTCCCCCAGAAGGTGTCCTCCCCCTGCCTGGTGGAGTTGGGAACCCCGGTGGGCGATGTGTTCCCGGTGTTGTGTGTGCTGGGATGTTCTGCTCCAGCTGCTGGGGGAGGGGAGCCAGGCAGGGGCAGCAGGCAGGGGCAGCAGGCAGGGGCAGCAGGCCAGGGGCATCAGGCAGGGGCATCAGGCAGGGGCAGCAGGCCAGGGGCAGCAGGCCAGGGGCATCAGGCAGGGGCAGCAGGCCAGGGGCATCAGGCAGGGGCATCAGGCAGTTCTCAGTGAAGGGGGGGGGCAGCAGCAGGTTGTGGCCTCGGGCTCAGCGAGTACTGGGTTCCCCTGCAGCAGGTCCAGGCCTGGGGCAGGACAGCAGAGCTGGCTCTGCAGAGCCAGGCTCAGCCCTGGCCCCAGGGCAGCTCACCCGGGGCTGGGCAGGAACTGGGCAGTTCCAGGGCAGGGGAGCTCTTGGCACCCAGGATTCCCCCAGGAGTGGAACTGGGCAATACCTGCTGCAAACACCTGTCCAGTGAAACCTGCAGTATGAAACCTAGAGGGTTTTGAAAGTGCTTTTTATGGAATGTGGAAAGAAAGACAGGTCTAAGCACAGCAAGTCTAAACCCAGACAAACGAGATGTGCCAGTCCCTGGCTCCTGAGGGCTGTGAGCAGTCCTGGGGCCGTGACAGAATCCTGAGGACACAGGGAAATGAGAGCACAGGATTAGGAGAATTCATTGCCCAGGTAGGGAAGCATGAAAGACAATCCTTTGCATATGTCTGTAAGGGAATCTGTATTCAAGCAAACTTATATTTCTTTCTTTTACATATTTGCCCCTATGAAAGGCTTTTAGCCTCAAACCTGTCCATTTTTCCAGAATTGGTCTAATAATTATTTTTTCTCTCCATAACCTGTGCTGCACTTGGATCCTTAAGACCAAAGTTAGGTATAACAACTTCACTACTACACTTTTGAGCAGAAAAAAAAAAAATTCTCCTTTGTTCAACAAACAAACAAATCTGTGTAGATGAGCAGAGCTTTCCACCTTCTAAAATTCAAATAATAATATGTATATTCTAACAAAAAAATATCAGGCCTATTTTAATCTTGACAATAGAACTTTTAATCACTTGAGGGTAGAGGCAGAGCAAGCTATTATCTACCTGCAGTTACACTATTTAGTCCTAAATATTTGGGCTTGTTATTTCTAGCACTGAGAGCCTGAAGTCAGTGGGAACCTCTCCATTAATATGAAGCAACAGATCAATCTGAGAGCACAATCCTTATTCATTGTAAGGCCAGACCTCGACAAAATAAAGTGAAATATAATTCATAGAAATCAATTGCTGTGTTGATCTTCAAACACTGATGCAAAAAAAAAAAAAAAATTCTTGTCTTTAGCAGTATCCTGTTTTGCAGGATCTCCTTCACGGAGATGAAGAGTCAGAAGGAAAGGTCTGTCTCTCCAGAACATCGTGTCTTCTTCACACATGAAGCCCTTTTGAAATCAGTGACACTACAGCCTGGGAAACTGCTAACTTCAGAATTGCATCCAGAGAAACACTGGGGCCGCGTACCAAGAATTCTTCTCTTTTGCCGAGTACACTTGCGTCGGTTTGAAACGGAAAAAAACCTGATTAGCTGAAAACAAGATTGTTCTTTTCATAGGAAAGAGAAATGAGAAATTTTCTGGTCTCATCAATGACCTCAAAAGATTTGGGCAAAGAAAATGTATAAATTTACTGTGTAATTCTGTAATGATTTAGATCAGTGACAGCTTGTCTGTCTGAACTCATCCATGGCTATGCTTTACTGTGATTTCTAAAGCAAATGCTGAAGTCTAATTCAGGGTGGCTGTTATGAAATATTAAAACAATCTGCAGGGGATAAAAATCTTTACTGCTAAACACCAGTTAAAAACTACGTAATTACTGAATAAGCATTTTTTAATGAAAAGTATCCTAAATTTTTTAAATAATGCACATTTAACATAGAGTGGTATCTCTGAAGCAGATGTCTCCTTGACATGTGCATTCGAGCTGTTGGCGGTGACCTTGTAGGACAAAGCAGTTTTGAAAATTAGCTTTTGCCTCCCAATCTGTGAAAATAATGCTGTAGTGAAGATTTAATAAAAGTCATAGCTTCTCATAGAAGCTTATTTCAGCAAAGTAAACAATTAAAATAATAAATGTCAGCTATTTCTCAGCTTGACAGTTAACACAACACAGCTTTTGCTTAGCATGATGTACAGAATGTATGGGAGGTGTACCTATAATTCATTTTATCTATGTATGGTTCACTTATTGTATTTTAGTACAGTGATAAATTAACAAATAACGCTGCAGTTTTCGTAGTGGTGTGAGAGCTTGGGGAAAACCCATCTGGCATGCAAACAGTGTGTAGCTAAAACGGGAGAAAAATGAAATCAGGGAATTTCTGAAGGATTTTAAGCTTTGCAAAGCAAAGGAGAAAATTTGTAACACTGTTGCTTGACTTCTGTGTTCAGTTACCTGTTGAGGTGGACCAGAGGCAGGAGGGTGGGAGAATAAGGTTTGCGTTTTTATTGTAACGTGGCTTTTGCCTGAAATGAAAAAAAGCCCGAGGGTGGAGTTGCAGTTTTGAGCTCTGTGCCCTCTGGAGTGAGATGTGGCTCGGGATGGAGTCAGAGGGGAGGGTGATCAGGGCTCCAGAGCGTTAGTCTGGCACAGGGGTGTGCTGGGGCTCAGCTCCAGGTGAGGCAGCTCAGGGGTTTTGCCCAGGGTTGGCACCTCTCCTGACAGGGGGTACCAGCGTGGGGGGAGGCAGCATGGCCACGGGTCTCCATGGCCTGTGTGCAGCAGCTGTGCAGAGGAACCAGAACACATTAGTTATGGAAGTTTTACAATCTGCTGTGGGCGTTTCTGTGGGTGCCATTCCATTCTGGACTTGCATGCCAGCAACCTTGTTAAGTCTGGGAGAAAAAGTAAAATGCATGGTGTTTATAACCTGTCACTTTGCAGCCGTGTTTCTGTGAAGCCAGTGCAAGGTGACTGAGAATTGTACTTTCAGCTGCAGGCACTACTCATTTGAACAGCCAGGACTGCCTGCTCTTGTCTCTTGGAATCCCAGAACTAGCAGAGCACACTTTGAAAAGTTTGTCCTTAACCTCTGCCACAGGTTTCTTAACTACAAGGTATATAGAGAGCTTTTTTTTTTTTTCTGAATGGTTTGTGAAATAGAGATAACTCAGCATTTGATCTTCTTGTACAGTTAACTGCCCCTCATAGCTGAGAAAGCAAATTGTGGAGACAGGTGAAAAGCCAATGGCCAATGTAAATAAGGTGATGGATTCAGAAAAGTGTGAGCACAGGTCCAAATGCAGTCAACAGGGTTGTGAGCCCTCACCTCAGAAGTCAGCATTTTAAAAATTTGATGGTCAGTCACTTAGGAAGCTTAAAAGTCAGAAGCAATGTACTTGGGCTGTTGCTGCTGGGGCACGGGAAATTATTTCCTACAGAACTGCAGCCTAGTGTGCATTTGTTTGGAGTCTGCTTTTCTTCTTGGATACAGTTAGGAAAATAATTTCTATTTAAACAGGAAAACAAATGAATGGATTATGCAGTCTCTGGGCTTTATTTTTAATTTTTTCTAATCCTGTACTCCGTTGCACAAAGCTTGTCCTAGTCAAGGAAAGGGACATCAGGTATGAGAACACTGTCAGAATACTGAGAGTGCAGATCTGAAAGTTCTTCATAAAGAGCTGAGAATGTACCAGACTTAAAGGGAAAAAACCATTCTATTCTAACTGATTTCTTTCTTTTTCATGGAGTAAAGCTGAACCTGTACAGCAGTCCTGAATGATTTGCAGCAACCCTGCACTCAAAACTGACTGTGTAAAATGTAATGATTTTTTTAAAGTGGTTTAAAAGATGAAATTCATTCCTGTTTCTAAGTCAATGGTTCAGTAAGTCAGGGAGAACCCAAATCAGACTCTAGATGTTGGTTATAGGGCTGCCCATAGAAAAAACCCTTTATCCAGCCTTCACAAAGACACTGAATGAATCACAGCCTCTGTGTTACAGTTTTATTCACATAGATGTGCTATCAGTATTCAGCACTGAAATTTTGGCAGGCCTTGGCCTTGATGCTGTGCTGTACATTGCATTAAGTAGAGTCACTAGCAAAGAGTGATGCTACAGCCCTTCCTCTTCTCCCTGAGAGTGACACCTTGTGTAAAGTGCTGGTTATTTGGCATTTATAGAAATAAATCATGCAGGGATTAAAAACAAACATTTTTTTTTTAGTAATTAAAAATGGCTTTTATTGCTCTAAAACCTTGTTTAGACTCATTAGCAAGGTTGAGTAAAGAGATGAATCTTTTTATCACTGCAATGAGTGTAGCTGTAATCTATATAATTTTTATGGCAGCATTGATTCAGTGAAGCCACAGGAAGGAGTCACTGTTGGCTGAAAGACTGTCTGCAGAACAATTTAGCAGGAAGAAGCCAGGAGTATTGTGTAGTAGATGAAAGACTGGTTTGGCAAAAGTTATTGAAGTTTTCACTGTCAGCTTTTGCCTTGTGAGTCTGCAGTCTGTCAGTCTCGAGGAAAGGAGTCACTCAAGGTACTGAAAATAAATGCAGATATTAAAGGCCAACTTGTGAACTCATTGTCAAGGGATGAGAGAGCTGGATCCTGATACCTGTATTTGTGTGGGTAGAAATGCCTGTTATTCCAGCTCTGTTTGTAAAGGAAGGCCTTTATTAGGTGTGTGTTTGCTCCTCCACTGCAGACTTTTTGGATTTGACAGGGGAGCATTTCTGAACCACCTGTGGAACTTGCACTTAGAAAGTGATTAATTGTTTAAAAAGGGCAATTTATTTCAAATTAAATCATGGAGTAAAATTTATTAAAGTAGAGATCTGATAGCATTTAACAAGCAAGTGCATTTACAGAGAGAAGTTATAGTGTGTGAATAATCCCAAGATACCTCATCTCCACAAACTGCTTCATGCCAGATAAGCAGTAGGAGCTGTGTATGTTCTCCTAACAACTGCAAGGTAAAACGTGCTGGTTTGCAGTGTGGTCAGCTTTTGAGAAGCTATCTGGAAAATAATAGATGACACTACATATTATTTCACATTTTCAAAGGGATGCAGATGGTTAGTTGCCAGGGCTCAGCTGTATGTTCACAGCAGGACACAGTAAACCTAACGTGTGTGGGTCCCCTATGTAATGACTAATATTAAATCCTACTGTTAGGCAAAAGAAGCCACGCCCAAAACATTTGCAAGGAGATAATGTGATGCATTTATGAGTGTATTATCTTAAAATGTTGTAACTCAGTGAGTGATCACATACAGATCAGTTGCTGTAGCTGTTGACTTGGAAAGCACCTGGTATCAGGAATGGTGAGAAGCTGGTATATGGAGCACTGAACAAAGTTTTGATTGGAGCTTTTCTTTTAGATTTACCCCAATTATTCCCAGGACCACATCAGTGCAAATATGACAGAACTTTGGCTTATAGGGTGATTCTCTTTCTACAGTGAATGTAAATAAAAATCAGTATCTGGAGAAGGGCTGGGGCAGAGATGCTGCTGGAGCCAGAATGAGGGTCGAGTAGGACCTGTGGCTGCTCTTCCAGTCCTGTGTCCCCTGAGCGACTGGAGCCTTAACTCTTACAAAAATTGTTTGATGCACGTGTACAATTTATACACAGACAGGCCACTGTGTGTCAAGGGGATGTTTCACTTCGTGGTACTTTTGGCATTTTCAGTATTTCTGCAGTTATTATTCACAAAATGAGCATGGTGCTCCTTGGAGTTACTGGGAAAGAGCTGTCCTGCTGATCCAGTTCTCTATAAAACATTTGTGCAATGCTTTTACAAAGACAGAATTCTGGCTACAGCAAAGATGGTTATAAGCAGCAAGAAGGGATCTGTAATACCCAAAGGCCTAATACAGCTTTTGCTATGAGCTGTATCCATATATGCATGTCAGAGTGGGTCAAACAATATGAACTAGCTCAAACATTTGTCTTTGACATAAATAGAATAAAGCTGTTGTGCTTTTTTTTGCAGGTTTTAAAATACAGAGTTAATAATCTCTATTACAGTGCCTCTTTTCACATGATATGTTCAATTATCTCTGCAGTGAGAGAGTAAGGAGATCATATCCCATTTTCCTTTCAAGGCATTTGTGATACACTTTCAGCATAGGAATTTTAGGTGCTTCTGAGAAATGACTTTTTTTTTTGGTCATGTTTTTCCTCCTTGCATTGAAAAAACTGTGGGACATCACAAAATGTATGGTATTTGTAAAGCCATTTTATATGTACCTGTGTAATCTGAGCCTTGTTCTGTTCAGTCAAAACCCCGAGGTGACAAATAGTGATGGGCTTTCACCCCTTCCTGTCTGTTCATGAACAAGTTTACTTTGAACTCTGGTTCACCTGTGGTAGTGCTTAGATCCAGGTGTGAAGACAAGACTATTTATTTAGAAACTGGTATCAGGCATTCACTTACTCAGGATATTTGCCACTTATTTCCTGTGACTGTTTCTAGCAACCAGTCGTAGTGTTCTTTGTGTGGTTCGCAAAGGAGACTTCTGGAAAGGATTGCTTGAAGTAAATTAAAACAAAATGTTCTTTATGGAGATTGTTATAATCATAATGGTGAATTCAAAAGACATAATCTTGTCACTACTGATCCCAGATTTCAATATGAAATATCTCTGATCTTTGGAGATTTTAGTCCAGCATTGCAGAATTGGGTTGTAGCATTTCCTGTGACAGTCTGTGTAAATC